AGCATTTGCCAGATGGAAAGGCACCTGAGACAAAGGGAGCCATGTAGGCAAAGGTGGGGGATGGTGTGGGGCTGGTGCACCCTTTGTGGGAATGGAGGGCTGGGGAGTTGAGGTTTCAAGGTGGCAGGGAGAGGTGAAGGCAGAGCCTTACCAACATGCTCTACATGGGGGCCTAACTCCCAGAACCTGGCTTCCTAGCTGGGTCACCAGAGCAAGCCACTTTCCCAGGGCTGCAGAGTCCTCTTCTGTCAAACAGAACATCTTAATAGTGTTCTCTGGTGCCAGTGAACTCAGCGGTGGGAACAGAAGTCTGGTGCCCAGTTGGTGTATCAGGTGTGAAGGCCCACTGCCTGTTTCTTACCTTCCCAGAGGCACCTTCTGTCTCCTCACCTACTGGAGAATTCCTTCCATCTCTGGCCTTGCCCTAAACTCTGTCAGGCCCCGCACACTTCACCAATCCCTTGCCACCATCTGCCATTTTTCTTAGTGCCTTCCCAGAATGCTTTAAGCTCTTGAGAGTCAGATCCCACCTGTGTATCTCCTTCTCTGAACCTGAGGCTGAGGCTCAAGGGTGAGCACCCAGCATCTTGTGCCGGCTGGAAGAAAGAGCTCCCGCCATGTGATGGGTTTGAGCAAAGGGCCTGGAATCCCAGAGGAGAAGGAAGAGGAGAAATTCCTTCTGAAAGACCTAGGAGATGGCACAGAAAGGCCTGCTCTGAATATACAGGGTTTGGCTGAGAGGAGGGGTGCTGGTGTGACCAGAAGACATCCCTGCTCCAGGGAGCAGTGAAGGTTTTAGATGATAGGGGAGGCCCCAAAGGCTTAGCAGCTTTTCCACTAAATCTGGCTATGTTTCCTGTGTGCTTATATCAGAATGGCACCCTGAGGCTCAGAGCTCCGCTGGTTGACTGCAAAAAGTGAGTGCAATAAAGTTATCTTGCAGGGTGGTGGTGAGGATACAGGACGTTGCCATAACTAAGAGTAGACATTGGCTTTCAGCTTTTCCCAATTCACCCTCCATTCTCAGCTTTGCTTGTCAAGGTTAAAGGTCTTCACTGTGCTTCCTCAGCTGGCTTGGAATTTCTCTGGGAGAAGGTTGTCCCTTTCCCTTTATGTTTGTTTGTTTGTTTGTTTTTGGTTTTTTGGTGGAACCAGGGCCCTTTCCCTTTAGGGTTCTCAACAGAAGGAAGCAGCTGCCAATAAAGCTGTTTTCTTTCTGGGCCTGGGCCCACTAAGGGCAGGTTGTCCTGTTTTTGGAAGTGGGTATATTCCAATATCCCTAGTGGATGCCTGAAACTGTACATACTAGTTGATATGATTGACTGGCATGTTGTTAAATGGCACATATCGAAGTTTAATTTACAAGTTAAGCACAGTAATAGATTAACAGTAGCTCAATGAAATAGAGTAATTATGGCAATGTACAATAATAAACGTTAAGCTGCATGTGATGATGCACACTAGTAATCCAAGCACTCAGGAGGCTGAAACAGGAGGATCATTGCTAGTTTGAGACCAGCCTGGGCTACCAAGTGGGCTCATGGGCAGCCTGAAGTGCATAGCCAGACCCTGTCTCAAAAAAAGATAGTAATAATAAGTTATTTAAGCAGGGCATGGAGGGTTGGTGAGATAGCTCAGTACAATAAGAACTTGCCTGGCAAGAGCAAGATCCTGAGTTCAATCCCCAGTACCACAAACAAACAAACAAACAAACAACCAGGGCATGGTGGTGCCTGCCTGTTATCTCAGCACTCTGGGAACCTGAGGCAAGAGGGTCACAAGTTCAAGGCCAGCCTGGGCAATTTAGGGACTTATTGAATCCTGTCTCAAAAAGCAAACAATAGGGCCAACCAGATAGCACTAAAGCACCTGCTTAGGCAGAGAGCAGCGGCCAGGGTTCAATCCCCAGTGTGCTATGCCAGCCCCACCCTCAGGGCTCACTGAGACAGTGATTTAGCGTGGTGGCAGGCTCCTGTAATCCCAGTGCTTGGGAGGCTGAAAACAGGAGAATCACTACAAGTCCAATCTGTGTAGTGAGA